GTATCATCCATCCATCCATCCAACATCTGTATCATCCATCCATCCAAAATCTGTATCATCCATCCAACATCTGTATCATCCACCCATCCATCCAACATCTGTATTATCCATCCATCCATCCATCCATCCAACATCTGTATCCAACTATCCATCCATCCACCCAACATCTGTATCCACCCATCCACCATCTGTATTATCCATCCATCCATCCCACATCTGTATCCCTCCCCCCTAACATCTGGATCGCCCCTGGGGGCGGAGCCTCTTACAGTGGCCTCCCCCCATCCCTCCGTAGTGATTGGACACGGCGATGAGGTCATAGAGGCAGGGCCCGGCGTTCGGGTTGATGAGGAACTCCGACATGTCCAGATCTCTGGGGAACAAGGAGAGATCCATCAGTACAGCTGGATCAACATCTGGATCAGCAACAGCTGGATCAGCAACATCTGGATCAACAACAGCTGGAGAAACATCTGGAACAGCAGTAGCTAGAACAGCAACATCTGGATCAGCAGCTGGATAAACAACATCTGGAACAGCAGCTGGATAAACATCTGGAACAGCAGCTGGAGAAACAACAACTGGATCAACAGCTGGATGAACATCTGGATCAGCAGCTGGATAAAAAGTGGGAATAGCAACAGCTGGAAAAACAGCTGGATAAACATCTGGAGAAACAGATGCAACAGAAGCAGGATAAACAGCTGGAACAGCAACCGCTGGATCAACATCTGGAACAGCAGCTGGAGAAACAACAACTGGATCAACAGCTGGAAATGAAACAGCTGGAACAACAACATCTGGATAAACAACTAGATTAACAGCTGGATCACCAGCTGGAACAGAAGCATCTGGATCCACCATCAGCAGCGGCTGGAAAAGCAACAGTTGAAACAGACACAGCTGGATAAACATCTGAATAAACATCTGGATCAGCACCATCTGGATGAACATCTGGACGAACATCTGGATTTTTCTCACCTGAGCGGGAAGTCGACCAGCGAGTCCAGCTTGTCCCTCATGTAGCGGCTGTAGGAGAAACGCTTCAGATGCACGACCAGCACGGGGGGCAGGGACCACAGGTCCAGCTTCTTAGTGGCCTGCTGGTGCTGCTTACAGCTGGGGCAGTACCTGCAGCAGCCACCAGCAGTTAGGGGGCGCTATACACACACACAGACACACACACACATATATACACGCACATATGCACACACACACACATACAAACACACACATACTCTTACACACACACACACACACGTATACACACACACAGACACGTATACACACACATATATACACACACACACACACTGATACAGACACACACACACACACACACCTGTTGGTGCTGCTTACAGCTGGGGCAGTACCTGCAGCAGCCAGCAGCAGTTAGGGGGCGCTATACACACACATAGACACGTATACACACATATATATACACACACACACACACACACACACACACACAGGCACACATACATACATACACACACACACACAGTCATACACACACACAGGCACACACACCTACATCCAACAAACACACAAAGACACACACACCTACACACACACACTCTCTCTCACACACACACACACACACACACGGCCGGCCAGCAGGAGAACATCCAGACTCCCGATCCAGTAAAAAAAAAAAAAAAACATTTCCGATCCGTGTTTTCCATTTCCAAAATAATCCATTCCTCTTTGCTGTGTTGTTCCCTGATATCCGGTCCGGTCATTTTCCAGCACAGCCTTAAGCATTAGCATTAGCATTAGCATCTCCTGACCCACAGGTCCTAGTCCTGACCATAAAGACGGCCATGTTAGTGTTGAGCTGTCGGTAAAAATGTCAGTTATGGGGGATTATTTTATCCTTCAAGAGCTGGATGTAAAACAGAGTTAATAGACTGTTTTCTATTCAGGTCGTTTGTGTGTTTTGCCTTTTTGTCAGACTGTAGGAAATATACCCGCTGTAGGCGCCATATGCCCATTTATGTACATTTATGTATATTTATGTGTATTTTGAATTTATTTGTTTATGTGAATTTGATATGTCATTTAAATTAATGAGTGACAATAATAATTTAATGACGTGGTAATTATGCGCCAGGTGCCCAGTAAGGTTCCCTTTGTGAAATTAACATGGCAGGAGGAAGGTTGGTGCCTCACGGTTACGCTTGTGTTATGCTCGTGACGTGCTCGTTTTGTAACTTTAGATTTAGATTCATGAGAGTTTAGGAAGTATATATTTCATTTGTGTTCGTTTTTGTTATCGCCTTTGTTTTAAAATAAAATTGCAAAACGTGACGTCAGTGGAAGTGAATAGTTTTTGGGATCCTGGAACACGCGTCAGCCACAAAGCTCCAACCTATAACGGATTTTTATTAAGACTTCCGAAAATACCCTACACCCGCCTCCTTTGCTTTTTGCTTGGCCCTGGATGTAAAAAAAAAAAAATCTGGATGGGGACATCTGGAGGTTCTTACCAGGGGTCCTCGGCGCCCAGCTTCTCCTTGGTGGTGAACAGCTCGATGCAGTCCTTCAGCTTGAAGAAGGCCTTCTTCTGGGGTTTGTACTCCATGCTTTCGTGCTTGTCGAAGTCCTGCGAACACAAACATATTCCCCTGTGAGGCCAAACACCGACCCCCCCCCCCCCCCCGACTAGGGATGGGACGGTTTCTGAAAACCGTCTGAACCGTTGGGTTGGACTGTCTCGGTTCGGTTTGCGTGTGTTGCGTTCGGTTCCTGCTGCTTCTTTTTCTCAGAGGGAAGCGTTTACACTCCAGACCAGAAGGGGGCGCAACTGCGCCCAAAGCCAACCACCAGTAGGAAACAAGAAGAAGAAGCGAAGCAGCGTAGCCGATAAAAATCAGACGCGCCAACAGCAGTTAACTCATTGGCTGCCAAAGACGTCTATAGACGTCTTTTATGTTTTTCAACGAGAGTGGCTGGGGGACGATCTGCTAAAGCTTGTCCGTAAATATCAGGCTTCTAGACAGAGTATGTAGTAACAAATTGACCCTCTAGGTGGCAGTGCCACTTTTGATGGGAGATGAGCATAGACTGTAGCCAAATAAGAAAAAGCTAACGGTTCGCTATGAGAGAACATGTCGCCGGTGAGACGCACGTCGAGGAAGAACGGAATAAGGTAGAAACACATTTTTTTTCCTGATGAAAGAAGAGAGTCTACTCTTTCTTTTAGTGTGTTCGGTGTGTATATAGTCATAGCACAAACTATTCTGTGGCTCTTGAAACATCAGTCAAAATGCTCAAAAAACTCTGGCAGTGAGCGACTCTCTGTTCTGAAAATGGCTGGCAGTCAGTGAGTTTCTAGGTCTGCTGTATGGGAACACTTTGCATTTAGAGGGAAGCACATGTTGGAATTAGCACCGTTTCCTCTCTGGCAATGCCAGAATCTCACCTACTTTTAACCTAAGACTGTCACAATAATGGATCAAATGTCAGATTGCTTTTCTCTTTCAGTTTTAACCTGACTATACAAGACATAATAGATTTTCCTAACAATCAACATATACCGAACCGAACGGAAAACCGTGACCACGAAACCGTGAATCGAACCGAACCGTGGATTTTTTTAACCGTCCCACCCC